GGTCACATGGCAGGGTCACATGGCAGGGTCACATGGCAGGGTCACATGGTGACACGGAGTCCTCCTCAGACGACGTAGCCCTTCCCATCATACACACGCCTCCCGTAGGAAGAGGAGGAGAAGGAGGCGACCTTCCTGCTGGCTGACCTTCAACACTCCAGCTAATTTCCCACAATGCCTCTTACCGAGGCCCCGCCCCCAGAAGAGCCCGCCAGCTGCCTCACGTGTCCCATCTCTCCGCTGTCCGCTCTGTCCTCGGGAGGGGGGGGGGTTTGCTCGGATGGTCCTCTATCTCGACATCCGTATCGATCCCCGGCCCCATAAATCTCCACAAGCATCATTCAATTAGTGTCACGGCCATGTGAACAGGGGCTCGGGACGCTGGGGGGGGCGGATAACGGCAGTGCTCATGCACATTAAGCACAGATTGCCTCATATTTCCTGAGCTGGGACACAGACGGGCCATAAGTGTCAGCTCTTACCGCAGGGGAGATACGTCGACGGGCTAATGCGGCTCCGAGCTCGGCTCCACTCCGCCGGCTCTCATCACCTTTATTTAGCAGGACACCTTCGGGCCCCGGAATGTTCCAGAAGGAAATAAGAGATTTGATAAAGGCTTTCCTTCCGAAATACAGGCAGCAGTGGCAAGGTAACCACTGGGAAGAGATCTCTGTTTTCTTCTGCAAACTGTGTACCTGCAGTGGCTTGCAGCTCTGTGCTGGTTTGCACTGCAGTCCCCCCCCCCGCTCCCTCCAGAGTCTAACCTTACACCTTCCGTGTGTGGGAAGCGCTCCATGTAAATACATAACTGAAGTCCTGGCTCCCGATGGGCCTGCACCCAGACCAGAGGGGGGTGTCCCTTCCCTTCTACAGCAACACTCACTGATCCAGGCTCTCCATTTGGGCGTAAGGGAGCCCGACCCGGATTCCTCAGTCTAAAATACATCCCTGTTAACAGATCCCATTTCCGATACTCTTCAGTGGGCCGGGGAGCAGAACGACTTAACGGGCCTCGTTCTACACAGCAAGGCCCGTGCAGCACGCAGCCGCTCCCGCCTTTGTTTCTGGCTGAGATATTAAACTGAGACTCTGTCAAGGCTGAGTCACTGTCGGAGATATTTTCGCAGGCTTTTTCAGCCGTGTAATTAAAGTCTTAGAACAGTCTAATTCTATCAAATAACCAAGAGATGGGGGAGGGGGGGCAGCCATCTTCAACAATGACATAAATGGAAAATGTGGCCTTAAAGGTCACCTTTCTGTCCAGAGAGAGGGGGCAACATTGCAGATTTAACTCTGTATCACACACAAGTTACACGGCACAGATGTGCTCTGGACCACAGCTGAGGAATAAGGTCATGAAGAAGATCAAGGCTGCCCCCCCGCCCCATGATGTCACTGCTAATTACATACATACATACATCCATTGTCCAACCCGCTTATCCTACTGGGTCGCGAGGGGTCCGGAGCCCATCCCGGAAGCAACGGGCACGAGGCAGGGAACAACCCTGGACAGGGGGCCAGCCAATCGCAGGGGACACTTGCACACCATTCACTCACACAAGCACACCTAAGGGCAATTTAGCAACGCCAATTAGCCTCAGCATGTCTTTGGACCGTGGGGGGAAACCGGAGTACCCAGAGGAAACCCCACGACAACACAGGGAGAACATGCAAACTCCACATTCATACATATATAATAATTGATACTTTATTAATCTTGTAAAATTGTCTTTACACCTCCCTCAATTTGCTCTTTGTAGAGTAAGCTGTCAGTGAAGGGCAGCCACCTGTCGGGGCACCCAGGGAGCTGGGGGTTAAGGGCCTTGCTCAAGGACACACAGATGTGCTGAGGCTGGGTTTGAACCAGTGACCTTCTGATTACAGGCACACAGGCTTAGCCCACTGAGCCACATGCTGCCCCATATGTGAATGAACACGCACACGCACACGCACACA